ATTGCCCTTCGGTCGGCTTCCCTCTATTCCTTTAACTGGTCAATCATTCCGGCCAGTGTGTTGTCTCTTTGCATAGAATCTATGCTTTTCTCTCCTGCTTCCCATTCCAACCTAGCCGTTCTTTGAGTTTGCTCCTCTGTTGCAAACTGTTGTCGGACCAGTTCTTCTGCCATTCGTACATGATAGCTTTCTAATTCAGCCATCATGTAGTCTTGGAGTCCTTGGCCCGACCTTTCCAACCTTGTTAGTTCATCTCCCATGAACTTTTCTCCGGCATCCAACCTTCTCTTGGTTTCAGCCACCTCATCGGCAACCTGTTTTCTAGCCTTCGTTAATGCCGCATAGGCAATCTGTTGTTCGTTCCTAGTTTGGGTGATGGTATCGTCTAAATGACTAGTGACCCTTCCTAACATCGCCACAAATCTGTTGAACCCTTCAGTATCGGGAGGTACTGGACTTCCTGCCCGTGATCCTTGGCTGGATCTATCCTTCGTTATTCTAGTTAGGCCTAATGGCCCTAGTGATCCAAATGGGTGTGGAGGTGTGTTGCCAATGGAGGGCCCTGATTTTGGGAATAATCCTCCCATCGTTCGAGGGTCCCATCCTCCTATGGACACGGGTGATCCTGTAGTCTCCTCTATTTTAGTGTCCGGCGGCTCACCGCTCTCCATAATTCGAGGTATGTCTGTCATATTGTTCCTCGTTTAATTCGCGTTGGTGTAAAAGCTCAATTTCCAATGCCCAAGGAGCCAAGGATCCCTGGTAGCCTCCTTCGTCGTCACAGAGGACGGAAGTTGTACCGTGGTACGTTATATCGCAGGTGGGTTCCTTGTAAGGTTGCCAGTCAGGGTCGTTGAAGTAGTAGTGGAAGAAATCAGGGTCCGACCACTCTTCAGAGTAGGTGAACCAGGAGGGTTCGTCTTCCTCGAATAAGGGGATATCCGCTAATTCGGTTTCCTAAGGTGTTTTGAAGGAGACGTAGATGGGCGTAGTTCGTGGTTCGAAGGTGGTGTCTGAATGTTCTTCAAAGTCCACTAATTGAATTTGTGGTCTCAATGGAATCATTCAAAGAGCCTTGGTAACCAGAGGTTATCAATATAGTGTTAGGGGGTAGGTAACTCTAAAGTCAAGCGAGTATACACTAGGCCCTGTAATCTTCTGTCTCGGAGATAGTGAAGAAGGCTCGTAAAGATAGAAGTAAAGTAGAACGAATATATTGATAAGATCTCTTCTCCAGTCGCTGATGATAGATTTAAAAGCTCGGGAGGCACCTTGATATTTATATTCCGTGTCTGGGTGGTTGCGGCCTACATCCAATCCCTTTCTGACCATGTACCTGCCATACTAACGATTCAGTGTCTTCGTGGTGGGAACACCTTTTGACCCTGAAAACTAACTTCTCCACTCTTTTCCTGAGTGGAGTGATCAGCTCTGTCAAAGGACTTATCAATGACTCTTCTATGTACATAGCTTAGAGTGCATGACGAAGATAACAAACTCAACCAGTGAGTTATTATTAACCAATCGTCAACTAGTCTCCGGATGACCCTAGTTGACGTGAGCAGAGGATGGTGCTGCTACTTCTCGGAATAGCAGTACCAAGACTTCCAGAGGTCATAGCTCAACAACCAACCGACCAATCTAGTTCAACTAAGTCTTATCTTGTAGAGCGGAGCTCCTTCTATGTTATCTAGTGAAAACCCCTTAGTCGCAGGCCTCGTATCTCCGCGGAGCGGGCTGCATAAATGCCTTGTCATATTGTGCGCTAATATCTTAGTGCTACGAATACTATCGCGGGGCCCGGAGTCGAACACGTGACCTTATGCATTTAGTCACGTGCCGCACCGATTACGCTTCTATGTGTAACACACCCAAGGAATCTGGCATCAAAGATCAGCACTCTGCCAGAACTCCACTAGAACTCTGCTAGCGTAAAGACCATTTTCATAACAGGCTGTAGCTCTACCAATATTGGTACCAGGTAGACGTCCAAGATACCATTAGAAGGCTGGCATTAGGTAGGATCAGGCCTCTGAGTATCAGATACTGGGCCCAAAGGACATATACGCAATCTGGTATCAATATCCGCACTCCGCCAAGGTAAAGGTTACTTTCAGAACAGGCTGTAACTCAACTAACATTGGCATCGGGTAGACGTCTAGAATACTGTTGGAAAGCTGGCATCAAGTAGAATCAGGGCGCTGAGTATCGGATACTGCGCTTAAAGGACACCTGAGGAATCTGGTGTCAAAGTCAGCACTCTACCAAAACTCTGCTAGTATAAAAACCACTTTCATAACAGACTGTAACTCCACCAATATTGGTGCTGGGTAGAGGTCCTAGGTACCGTTGGAAAGCTGGTATCGGGTAGAATCTGGGCGCCAAGGATAGGATACTGTGCCTAAAGGACACCTGGGGAATCTGGCATCAAACTCAGTACTCCAGCTGAACTCTGCTAGGGTAAAGACCACTTTCATAACAGACTGTAACACCACCAATGTTGATGCTGGGCAGACGTCCGAGGTACTGTTAGAAGGCTGGCGTCAAGTAGAATCTCACCACCTAGTATCGGATACGGCCCCCAAAGAACACCCAAGGAATCTGGCGTCAAATTCAGCACAGCACCAGAAGCGTGCCAGAACTCTGCCAACGTAAAGACCGCTTCTATTACAGGATGTAACTCCACCAATATTAGTACTGGGTAAGCGTCCTAGGTACTATTAGAAAGCTAACATTGTGTAGAGTTGGGCTGCTGAGTATGGAATGCCACGCTTACAGGACACTTGTGCAATCTGGTGTCAAAGTCAGCACTCTGACTGGGTACAGACCACTTTCATAACAGGCTGTAACTCTACCAATATTGGTGCTCGATAGACATCTGAGGTATTGTTGGAAAGCTGGTGTCGGGGAGAATCAGGCCATCATGTATCAGCTTCTGTGCCCAAAGGATGCCTACAGAATCTCATGTCAAACTCAGCACTGAACTAGAACCTCTCTAACTTGGCAAAGCAGGCAAAGTAAACAACAAAGTCCAGAATGCAGGGGAGGTAGTAGGTGGAACTCGTAAGGAGGGAGGTGGTATGCTGGATGCTGGTAGGGGGAGAGCTGGTATAGCGTGAGTAGGTAGGAGGAGAGCCGATAGGGAGAGAGCTGGTATGAGGAGAGCTGGTAGGGGGAGAGCCAGTAGGGAGAGAGCCAGTAGGAGGAGAGCCGGTAGGGAGAGAGCTAGTAGGGAGAGAGCCGGTAGGGGGAGAGCTGGTAGGGGGAGAGCCAGTAGGGGGGTGGTAAAGGGGGAGTGGCTGACAGCTGTGTTTATCACTCAGAATCTCAGGAGGGTAACTGGGGTGGCCTTGCTTATTTAAGATGCAATCTGGGCGAGGCACTTCCTAGTATAAGCGTTAGGATTCACAGGATGCAACCAGACTTAATGTCCAGGTACCAGATACACAGGATGTACTGGACGCAGAAACCTTCCACCTTACATTACAACCTACTGCCTGTGCCTCTGATATAGAAATAATTTTTGCTGATGAAGTTGATAAGGTTTCTGTGCTTCCTGCATGCTCATTTTTTTAGGTAGGAATAAATGTTGAGAATGGTTTACAGAATCCACTTGAGTCTTCAGTATTCTGATCTGGGAGTATTTTTTTTGCTTTTCAGGCTAAGTACTTGAGAGATGTATACAGGAAATTTTCAATAGACCCCATCTGTTTCCACTCTCTCACGGTCTATTTATCTTCTGAAACCGTGTCCGATTTTCTCATTCTTCCACTGGAGGCTGCATGAAAAAGTTTTCCTGCAAACAAACTAGAATTTAGGGACTTTTGCTACCTGGAAAGAGAAACAAATGGTATCTTAGAACTTAGAGAGGGAAAGCTAATAGAACAAAACCGGTCTCCCATGAAGGATAGAATTATTAGAGTTCTAGAACCATCAGAGGGTAGAGTTCAAGTTAACGGAGGTTTCGCTGTATTTACAAAACCTAAGAAGCCACTGCTCAATCTCCATTTTGTCCCCCCCCCCTCGCGCAGTCAAAGGCAAACACCAAGCCACTCTAGATTTCCAACTTCCACAATCCTATCTTCCTTTCCACGGAGTTTATCAATTGATCCCCCGGTTCCTACACTCCTACCACAAATTTTCTCCCATACCCGAACACACCCGAGCACTCATGATTCGTTGAGACCTCCCCCCCCCCCCCCCCTACCTGCCCCCTATTAACGGAGTCGATTCCTTCCTAGCGAGGCACCCCCACCACCAGGCAGAAGATTAGGCATCGTTCCCTTTCCACCTCAATTGAGTTTTCCTTCATCTCCTTTTCATAGTTCATAGTTATACCCCAGAATGCCAGGTCCCGACCTACGAAGTATATTCCCGCATCCTCTTTCCCGGTAGGATACCTGGAGTACGAGGTCACATTCCATTCATCACAACCAAACAAACACACCCTGGTCAACACACTTTCTCCCAAATAAAAAGGGATAGATCTCCTACACCGGTATGGCCTTGGGACATTCATACCCGATCACTCGCGTGCTGCACTCCGTACGTCATTGGCTCCCGATCCACACATCCTCACACCCAATATTATGTGAAATCATCCGCCAACGATCATCCATATTCGTAAAGGACAAATAGACAACCGGGTTACTAACAAACTATGGATGCCCTACCCACCTGCTAGCAAATAAGCCCCGCAGGTACCATCACTTGCAGCCCAGGGGCATCGAGAACTCCCAGAGACTAGGAGAACGTAAAGTGGAGTCTGTCATCATACCCACCCCTCAGGTAAACGCCTGGGGCAACCACCTTCTCCAGGGGCGGAAGGCCCCGTCGGGAACAGCCTTGTCCCTTCATATATAGCATGGTCCGGAAGCCATGTTGGCGCTCTCCGAGACCAACAATCACGAATCTGAGCCTGCGACCCGATGAATCTAGTATGTACGGAGGACGAACTGTCCGAAGGCTGTCTCCACGGTAGCCGGTGGTGATCCGCGAGTGAACATTTACAACCCCTCCATCCAATTAGATTCCCAAGATACGAAACCCTCCAAGCTATCCCCACTACCAGTAGACAACCATACAAACTCTGAATCAACACAGAACGGCCATCCCCCACAATCCCAATTCCCAGTCCGTAAAAGTCCGAATATCCAGCTCCGGCAATTGACCAGTTATACAAAGTAAAATAGCCCGAAAATGATCAACAGGTGAAAGAAAAAGAACGAAAACGCCACACTTAGGACGCCCTGGCGGTTCTGGAAAGAGAGCAAAGGGAACGAGATAGAAAGGTGAGAAACAAGTTTTATACTCGAAAACTTCGATTCGGGAGTGTTTGACCCTGAAAAGAATGGCTACTTCCGGAACACGATAGGCAATAAACTAGTACAGAACCCCCCCCCCCTAGCAGACCAACCCCAGTACACCCCCTACTGTATCACTTTAGAATAACCACACTACGACCCAGCCAGAGAAATTCAGGCATTTTAAGAGTAGGAACGAATCAAAACATACATGAAACAAGCATTACCGAAAAGGAAACCGGTGATAACAAAAAAAAAGCGAGGGGGAGGGTAGGCCAAACAAATGAGACCCAGAGGAAACGACAGTCCTCTACAAGGCAGCGGCAGTCATTTCCCCTGCCACGGATCTGCAAATTTGATATCACCGCCATGAAATGTTTGATCCATAGGGGGACTGGCAACAGGAACCTCCACATTGTCCACCATTTTAGTTTCCTTCTCTGCATGCCTCCCGGCAGCCGGGTTGCCGGTGCGGTTCCTCTCGAACGCCTCCTTCATTCGACCAACACCACCATCTTTACTTTTGAGCGCGTTATTAGCCGCGAGTCTCCGTTTTTCCGTTTCCAATGCTCGCTCTGCCCGCTCTTTTTCCTGCTCCAAGATTCTAAGCTGTTCGGCCCTATCCTTATCCCGATTCTTGTAAGTGAGCTTAACTTTCAACATTCCCTTCGTGAGAGAATCGACGCCGTCATCACTAAGAGGTTTGGTGGGCTCCTGAGAACCCGTAGGGGAGGAGGCGAGACTACTCGCGCTGCTAACAGTGGAGCTCGCCTTCTGGATCGCTGCGGCTGGGTGTTGATCCACTACTCTCCTAGTAAGGTCAGTCCCGATGACCGAGGGCTTCTTGCCAACTACATTTCGCGGTCCCGCAACAGTAACCCCACCGCCCGACGTTGACCCAATCTGTTTGCTACTGCCACCAGAAGCAGGCGTTGTACCTCTGCTAGGGGGAATCGGTGTAACTCCTCTACTGGGAGCGCCCACTGTCTGCACTCTTGAGGGTGCTCTTGAAGGTGCCCTTGATGGAGCCCTGGACGGGGCTCTCGAAACAGCTCTAGATGGCGCCCGACTGGTGGCAGCGCTGTCCAGCATTATACCAGTGGTCGTCCTCCTACGACGGCCTCTATCAACATCAGGGCTTGTATCCGGAGCTGGCTTCGGTTTTCGGTCCCTTAGTGTCATCCTCGTGCTGTCGGGATTCACGACACCGATTACTGAATGTCTCCCGGATCGTTTAGCAGCTTTTTCAATAGGTGGTATCTCCACCGACTCCTGATACTCAGGAATAATCATGCGACTCAAATCAAAAGCAGCGACCTCCCAAGGAATAACCGGGGGTGGTGGTGGCGGCCCATTGTGAGTATTGCCATCAAGATAGCCATTGCTCATGGCACGACGGGGAACATCATTCTTTTTAGCAACAGACGCGGCGGTTGGTGAGAGGTATGAGGTAGAGGTCCTCTCGACTGTGGGTTTCTTGGCTGTCATTTTGGTAAAATGTCCCTCCAATTCCAGTATCCTTTCCATTCCCCACCATTCCGCATCCCAGCCTCGATCCAGTCCGGAGCTTCCCACAGGCGTGTGCAACAGAGTCAGACCAATAGACGGCGATACGTACGTGCTAGCGGTTTCGGGGGGAGGGCATGCTAGGCCCGCCATGTGGGCAAGCACACCGGTAGTTAGCGCTCTATCAGAGTAGCCACCTTCAAGGACACTCAAAACCCTCCCATGACAGTATTCCTCCGCCAATGCCACGGCATCCGATGTGAACCTGGCAAAGAAGCTTGTGGGTACATTCACTGCATGACGCTGCATACCAGCCCCCTCGTGTTCGCTCGCATCAAAGCCGGCCGACAAGAATACTCCGGCTTTGAAATCCCTATTCTTTTTCGGTTTCGAAACCGCCGCGGCAGAGAGAAACTCCCGAGCTTTTGTGATCAGGCCAGAGTACTTCTCTTTATATAAGGTCCAGAATTCCTCTTCCGTCGAGTATGAGGCCAAGTGGACGTTCTGGATACATTGCCCGTGCGCATTCAAATTCAGACTGGCATTTTTGATCTTATCGATGTCACCGTACTCGCATGGATAAGAGTTGATATCGTGAAGCGAAAAGTAGCCAATATTTGGGACTTGTATACCGGAAGTTCTTTTGGATGGATTGTGTGTTGATCCCGCCAGTTCATTCAACGTCCATGTAATGGCCTGGGAGCCATCCCCATGGTGAAGATCAAAATCCAAGATGACGGCATGCGACAGCCCGTGAGCTCGGGCAGCACGAGCAACCGCAATATGAACATTATTCAACCAGCAGAACCCTGAAGGCAGTGTTTCAGAGCAGTGGTGACCTACCCCCTAGTGGTTAGTATCTACCCAGCTCCGGACGGAAATCAAGCGTACCAGGTGGCCGGATACAGACAAAAGCTCTTCGAACACCCCCACTCTCCTGGCCATCTTCGCTAATAGTACCACTCCGCCGGTCCCCCCCAAACACCAAGTCAACCCCGTCATAGAGGGCACCCAGACACCCCTCCAGATCTCCCCTACTCTCCTCGCACAGGTAAAGATCGCCTTGGTGATAGTTCTTGGGAACCTCGCATTCGCCCTTTTTAAGCTTCTCAGCGGCGGATCCACACATGGCAGCAAGGTCTTCGGGCCATGATGACTTGGCACCTTTGACAGTAGCGGCGTGGCAATGAACCAACATAACCTCCGGATCCAACAAACTACCCATCCGCTCCGATTTACGGATTGATAGCCTATTCCTCCCAACACGGGTCTGGGCGCAAGCAACACCCAAGGTTGCCGCCGGTATGCGCTCCGGTCTCTCAACGATAGTGGAGAGATCCTGAAGCGAGGTGTTGGGCCTAGAATACCTATGCCGATAGCTAGTATCATGGAAGATGACAACAGTAGGAGCCGACATATCCTGCGGAGGGAGAACCCGCTTCACCGGTTCGTTCTCCAAGATAGGCTCGGGCGCGGAGGGAGATCTCATAGAAAGCAGACTAGACTTTCTCGCAAGCGGACTAGGTCTTCCAGGAATGGGGGAGGAAGTGCGGGACATGGAAGAGATGGAAGGCCGCGTCTTCAGTGTAGGAGTGGATGGTGAACGGGTAATGATGCGTCGGGGGGAGTCGGATCCCTGAGATGAAGGGGTGGGTGAAGGACCGTAGCGGAAATCGATGCTAGCCCGACGGGAGAGCGGGGATGGTGAATGGGTTGTTCTCCCAATCACGGGTGGCGATGATAGGGACGTGGACAAGGTTAGAGAATTCAAGGATTCCGTAAGCCTCCTAGAATGATCCAGCTGCTGTTTCTGCAGTTGTTGTTGTTGCTGCTGTTGTTGCTGCAGTAACTGGGCCTGAGGAGTTAGCTGGGGATAGGAGAGAGCACCTCCACCCCGAGGACCACCACTGCTGCCACCGTTTACATGACCTCCTGGCGAAGGGGAATAAGGGCCCTGCGTGGCCATTGTAACCCTAAGCTATCAAACGACGAACCGTCGGCAAGGCAATGCTGAGATGACCCAACAGCCAACCCTTTGTTGCAGGTGGGTGACTACCCTATTCACCCCCGAAATGAATCAAGATGGTGAGGATGGCGAGGGTGAAGGATGCGATCCCGGTCAGGGAAAGAGGGACGAGACAGAAGGTTTTCGTGCCCACTGGTTACGGTATGCGGATATCTAGAACCTCTACAAAGCGTATCCCCCCCGAATTAATAACAAAGATGATACCTCAGCCCACAAGATGGATCAAATGTAATATGGAAGAGAGTAAAGCTTCAAGAAAGCGACATGAAAAACAAAAATGGGGATGAAAATGAAGGTGGAGATGGGACAGCGATGAGATGGAGCAGCGGCGCAAGTCCTGATGTTGGGGGGGGGATGAGGGATGCGCGTCGGCTGCTTCTGTCTGGGAAAATGCTAACTTAAATTAACAAGAAACTCGGCACGCTCCAGGTAACGTGCTTTTTGGCGAACGCGCCAGATTTGCTACTTGTACGAGTACGGCAACTCGACCTGGTCCATACACCAACACTAAGCCGTTTTAGGACACCGCCTTCCCCCCTCCCAACGAACCGATACGGTACTTGAGTACGGTAATGCTTGTATCATACCGTACCGGTACTGTACTTTACTCGGCACGTTACTCGTACCGCAACAGACATCCGGTAGAGTACTGTACTACCGGTACTGGTACACCATTTTTTTCAGGGAGTACCGTATGATACGATCAGAGGGACCAAGTGAAATAGACCCCGCCTTTAATTACTCGTTCAACATCCGTCTTGGAACCGCGGAAACGTCTCCCAACCCATCATCCCTGAATTTACCATACTGTACGAGTACCATGGCCACAGGTAACGCATTCCACACCGAATACTCATATCATACTGGTCCTGCTACCAAGACTCCTAGTTATTGCTCCTCTAGCACCGGCTTGAGTGTCACAACCTCAATCCATTCGCCCACGAGCAAAAGTAGGAAGAGACACCTTTGTACCAACCACCGGTAGCACGGGTGCCCTCGCTTACCTTAATTTATCGACCCACACCAGCGCTGTAACGTACGCGTGCCGGAGAGGCGGTAGACCGTGTGAGGGCTCAGCGAGGCGACACCCTCAGCGAGGCTTGGCGATATTTGGCAGCAAAGATTGCCTACGGTCAACGACACTAGGGAGCCAAGCCGTGCCGTGCCTCGCTGAGGGTGTCGCCTCGCTGAGCCCTCACACGGTCTATCCATCGTTCGAGCCACCCTTCGGTATCACACCACTTGAAACATCTACGACAAACTCCCAACAGCCGTGTTCCCGCTAAATCCACAATACCATTGTCATTCAATGCTGGTATCGATATCATCCATCCGAACCAAATAATGACCAACAAAGATATAAAAAGAGAAATAATCTCCAGCGTAAACGCTTCTTCCATGCCCAGAGAAAGAAATATACCAGCCACAGAAACTGGGATATCCGAGTCAAGTAGAGAAAAGAGAGAGAGAGAGAGAGAGAGAGAGAGAGAGAGAGAGAGAGAG